ATTAATGCTTAAAACTTGCAACCAATGATAGCATTCTTGCTGTGTTAATGGATATATTGGATTTCGACTTCATTTTTAAGGTTTCATAACAACGTAACAATTAATTTAAGGCAGGCAGTAGAGCTTGTGGCGGCACAAGTGAAGCATGTTAGTATTAAAATGGCTTTTAATTTTGATATGTCAAATACTTTTAGTGACAAACACAGTGGGTTCGATTGGAGATAGATCGCAATTTTACAGTTTGTGTCTTGAAAACTGTCGTGACAACAATTGTGATAATGGTACGCATTTTTGTAATGTATTAAATAAATTATGATAGATCTTTAAAATTTTGCGTTTATAATTTGTAAAATTATTACAAATTTAATACTTTTCAATTAGAAACTTAAAATAATATTAAAGAAAATATTTTAGTGGTTTAGTGTCTATCATACAGTTTATTATTCATATTTTTCAGATGATAAGTTTAAAGTACAACCTTCTTTATCACTAAGATTGCTTCTTTGGTCTTGTAAAGAAGATTGTAGTTATAAGTGTATTTGGAAAACAGTTGATTATTTTACATCTCATGGCTTAAAAGTTCCTCAATTCCATGGAAAAGTATATTATATATGTTTAACATAATATATATTAATAAACAAAATAGTATAAATTATGATACATAGTACAATATATAAATAATCTAAGTGATTTTTATTTCAGTGGCCATTTATTCGTTTCTTTGGATGTCAAGAACCTGCTTCTGTTATATTTTCTATGTTAAATTTTTATGCTCATATCACTATGTATTGGAAATTTAAAAGAAAATTTCAATCTACTTATCCTATGTTTTACATATGGACTTATTTTAGTCTGGTACATATATTTATCATGTTATGTTACTTAGATAAATACAGTTAATTTTGTCACAATATAAGTACTTTCAGTTTATTGTTATATAAATTTAAAGAGATTTAATTTCAGATATGCATACATGGCTGGTTTTGGTCATCTGTTTTTCATGCAAGAGACACTTCATTCACAGAAGTAATGGATTATTCCTGTGCATTTATTATGGTTCTTACATTATTATATTGTATGTTGTTAAGGTAATTTATAATGTTGTTAAATATAACATAATATAAATAAAAAAAGTTTAAG